TTTKRWTWWTYCYKRAAGKWAAGGGGAAAACGCTCCAAAATTTKCACTCACCGTCTTCTAAGGTGCGTTCYTTTATCACATCACTAGGGGGACCATCYCCCTTCTCATTGTGAACTTTAACACTGATATAATAGTCYGTTCCYTTAGCCAGATTTGTCAAGATATACGACGTGTTGTGAAAACCACTCACTAAAACCTCTTGTCCAGATTCTCCTGGTGCAGTTGTAAATACTACTTTATATCCAACACCAGTAGAACAGCGGACGATTACGGGAACCTGCAAAAAATGGAGTATTCATATCTMATGAGTGAACTCGAGTTGTAGAATGGGCTCCAGTGTTATTCTCACGTCTGTGTGTTAGAGTGAACGCACTTATTCTGTGGAAAATTAAATAGTACAAAATACACTTATATTATATAGTCTAATCAACTTTATTTGTTATAACGGATTTRATGCKTTCTTATTGACGTTCACTTTATTAATGCTCAGTGACCATGAGTGCATGTTTGRTATAGTGTGTCTGAGTGCGGTACTGAAAYAYCAATCACCAAAAGGCAACACCAAAAGGATATCTTAATCCTTGAAACTGACAGCCACTTATGTCTAAGCTGTTTGATTTCGAAATCTACGAATTCAGGAGTTTTAATGTAGATATAGCATACCTGCCACTTTATCAGTATACTTTGAGACGTCTTCGCTGCTGCAGTAACACTATGAGGAGCAGCCTTTGGTACTATTCCATGAAGATGAAATAAAGCTTTACATCAATATCTTGGTGTATTTTTAAATAAATAAAGTTAGTTTATCAATATCTTGGTGTATTTTTAAATTAAAGTTTATTTATGCATATGTCTAATGATGAGTTAGTAGTCCAGTCCCTGACACTTTTTGGCTCCGTTGAAGTTTGAACGGGGCGGGTCAAGGGTCTCGACCGGGACTGGACTAATGATTTACTTCGGGATGCATTTGGGCTTCCTTTGTATCGGTTATCTTGGCCACTAGGGACTAGACTCTCTCGCCCCAATTCTCCCTCTTCTGACTCACAAAAAAAGACAGGAAGCCCGTGCTTCTTGTGATGTCTGCGGAGAAAGCTTAATTCACCATATGTTCAGTATACTTACGCAAAGTTATAAATGACTTTTTCACAGCTTGDCCTGCAAATTTACCAGTCTTAAGTGCATCCACTATGGGTACCCTTGCCTCACTGCAGCTGACACCATTCGGATATGTAATCTTCAACTGTGCAATAACATCGCCACTCCTWCTTAAAAAATAATAAATATTCAGATTTGTTTTCGTTTTTTTGGCATCCCAGGCAACCGCGCAATGTCGAGCAGGCATTGGGATATCGAAAAGAACAATTGTCAAAGAATGCAGGGAATGTACGGTTTCTAGCTAGTGTGCAATAGCACACACATTAGTCTCTTTCAACAGCCGCGACTTCCGGTCTCGTCAAATTTCCTCCCCAAAAGTAACTTACTTAAAGTTACTTTTGGGGAGGAAATTTGACGAGACCGGAAGTCGCGGCTGTTGAAAGAGACTACAAACACATAGACTATATAGAATAGTCCCAAAAAGCACTTAAATCATTTTAAATTCCGTATGCTTAGAAAATTGTCAAAACCCATTTTCTCGCGCTCATAAAGCCGCAGATCATMAACAACGCAGTCTCTCACTCACCTAGTCGAATGTGGGTCTGTCATGAAGCTTTGCACCACACAAGAATAGACCAACTGATTTGAAAAGTGCCCGGAGTAGCGCAACAAACACTGATATAATCAATAGGTAAAATCTTAGAAAAAAAACCCTAAAGAACTAAAACAATGGGAAGGATGTTACATAAAAGAAATGAGCATGAATAGAAGGAAATTAAAGATAGAAGAATGGGGAAAAGGGAGAAATGATTTAATCACGGTTTCAAAGCAATACTATTGTATTTGTTCTTATTTTAAAATAAAATAAAAAAACTCACAGCCTCCTCGATGGCACGCTTTAATTTCTTGTATTCTGTTGAGTTTGGATTCCCATATTCATTGGTGTTTGTGAGCTCTGTCATTTTGATAGCAATCTGATCATCTGAGGAACATCCAGAACTACCTATACCAAGAATTARTAATAGAGTGCAGTAGAGTGAAAACAATCAATCCGTGAAGCTTGAATAGTGCAAAATAGCAATAAACTATGCTAATACTATTAGTAGTAATTAGTACTATCCCGGGAGTACTATTTGTTTCACGGTTTTAGTACGTTAACTCTATAGCGTTTTTACCACATATAATAATTTTCGTTTTGGCCATAATCCGGAAAATGCGGTGACTTTAACATTGTTGAAGTGGCAATTCCTCTATATTCCCCGGGGGAAGTGCGCGCCTTCGTTTCAATTGAGACTAAATTTGATGCCTATTTACACCCTTTGCTGTTCATTAACCGCGAAGGAACTTTCAATCAAGCGAAACTGCTTTGTCTTTAGCGCGAACGAACGTTCATTAACGCTTAGGGAGTTTCATGAGCGTGAAGGGAGAATCATTAACATATTTAGCATAGGCATGGACAATCATGCATAACTGGGCGCAGATTCATTAACGTTTTCAAACCTTCATTAGCCCATTATGTGCATTCAATAAACTACAACAAACATACAATACCAAAATACGGACATTTAATTTCGTCATAGTTTTTATTTCTAGGATTTAAAGAGTGCTCAATAAGTGTGAAATTTTACATACAAAAATTATCTTCATCCTTGAAT